TATGAGGCCATTGGTGTGCACTGGCTAGTGTTGTTACTACACCCTTTCCTGGCTAGTGTTGTTACTACACCCTTTCCTGGCTATTGTTGTTACTACACCCTTTCATGCATGTTCTTTTTGCCTCCCTAAAGAAAACCACTCGGCAAGTACACTGTTTCCCCTTCGACTCGAACCCCTTCCACATCCATGCAGAGGCTTGAGAATGCACACAGCATGTATCCTAACGTTCCTTTTAGAAGGGATGAGAAGTCTGAACCCCTTCCACATCTATGCAGTGGCTAGATGATGCGCACATCATGTATCCTGATGTTCCTTTTAGAAGGGATGAGAAGTCCTAATTCTGATTCACAGTACAGTGATTCACGGTCCTCTCTTCCTTTGCTCTCACCACCCCCTCCGCTGAAAACACAGAAACACAATTAAGAAACAGTGAGGCTAAAAACGCTGCAGATCCTCCTGGAGACATGGGTAATTTTCATCTAGGGCTCTGGGTTTGGGCTCTGGGAATTCAGGAAGTATCTAAAGGAAAACAGATTCTGAGATCCAACTTGGGAGCAGCTGTGGCGGCGCTCTGCAGCGGATGTGACAGGCATGTGTGAGCCACTGCTGGTGGCGGGTAAGTCATTCCCTCTGAGGGAGAGTCAGTGAGCCTGCGGCAAAGCAGAGCTCCAGGAAACATAGGTGCCATCAACCTCCCCTCCTAACGTAAACAAATTGTGACTTGAGGCACTTGGCGTGGTTCAGGCTCCTTGCTGAACCTTAGAATGAAACACATCACTAATTAAAACAGCCCTTACAAACTCCTCAGCTTGCCACCTCCCTAGGTCAGTGGCACCTACAAGAATCTGTTTCTATCTGTCCTACTTCCTGCCTGGGAACAAGCGGAGCAATCGACTCACTGCTCAGCCAGTTCCACTGTGGGAGGGCCACGACACCCCCCTCTCCCTGACAACCTCTGTCATTACTCATCACCCACTGGGACTGTTCCCAATGGCAGAGCCTTCAAAATGTGTGACAGGTGGCCTTCAGGCTCCATAAGGGTTTTATGTTGGATGTCAGATACTTTTGTACTTACTAGGTTCAATTCTTTCTGTGAAGGAGACGGCTATACTGCCATGGGCCACAGTATAAGAAAGACAAACTCACCAGGCAGCAAGCACCCAGCGAGCCCAGACTGTTAACTTCCTATCATTTTTCCGGATGCCCAGAACGGCAGCTGGTACACAAAAGGTGCCCAGTGGGGTCTGTCACAGAATTAGGAGTTTTTCCATTTCCAAGCTATGGAACCGCTTGATAACATTATATAAATACATAATAAACAAAGTAAGTTTACCACCTATTGGGTTCTTACTATGTGCCTCATGTATTATAGACACAATTGCATCCATTCCTTATAATACCCCTACTGTGTTGAAGAAGAAACTAAGGCGCGGGATAATATTATAGGGGTCCAAGTCACATAGGAACAGTCCACTGCCAGGAAGGGAAACAATCTAGTCCCTTCTTGGAGGGCCTAAGTAGCTAATGGACCAACTGCAGAGACGGCACAGAAAGCCAAGCGGCCGACAGCAGGCGAGCAATGCCAAGTGGTAGTGATATTATAGTAGCAAGAAAAAAAATGCATGCAGATGAAAGGAGTAATAACTGAATCACACAACTGTTTAATTTCAAAAAGATGAAGAAATTCTGATTTAAGTAAGAGTCACATTCACTAGGTGAAGAACGAACTGACATCACCTGCTCCATATAGTGGGGACTGGAGTCTCAGAGAGTCAGGCCCTTGCCCTGGTGATCACCCAGTTGGGAGCTATGTCTGCCCCTGGAGCCTCAGCAGTCCATAGCTGCACCCGAGGGGCTGAAAGTGGCATTGAGGGGGCATTTAAAGTGAGAACCGACCAACAAAACAAAACAACCGGACTCGCGCATAATTAACCAAAACCAGTTAAGGTGTGGAGGACGGAAAGCCTATATTCTCAATATAGGTTCTGATTATCTAGGGCACGAGGAAAAAAGTGCAGGCTCTAATTATGCGTGCTCTTTCTTTCAGAGCAGAAAGGGGTGATGTCTGTCAAGCTAACAAGCATCATTTTTTGAGTTTTACGAAGAAGTTTAAAAATATGAATGACTCTGGCTTTTTAGCTTAGCGACGACCAGAAACGTCACTAGTTATACTTTGGAAGGGGAGGGGGATCTAAATTAGTCTACCTGGCTGTAAAAATAGGCCTCCTCAGTATTAAAGTGGTCCTCTGCCATTTAGTCTCAATGGCTTGAGAAAGCCCAGCATAAGTGTGGGCATGTTCTTTCACCCTCAATGGGTAGAAAATTTTGAAGCTTTTAAATGACCATGTGTTAATCAGCAAGGTGTTCTTGGGGGGAAACTAGAGGCTCCTGAGAGGTTAGTCACCTCCACACATCCACCCAGGTAATCAACAGCATCTTAAAAGAAATAGTTTGCCCGCGAGACTGACTACAGGGATGACTTTTAAATCCTGGTTTATTTCCAATGAGAGAGACGCGTCAAGAAATTAAGCCCTGATGCCATTTGGTGCTTTCTTTCTTTCTGTACTGCATACTTTTCTGGGTGTAAGGGGAAAATGCTTTTTTATAGCTCCATCAAATTGAGCTCCACAAAGGAGCTGCTAGATCACCTAATGACATGGCGCTTTCTGTAATAGCAAAACAGCTTTCTCTGTGCCTTCATTACAGCGGACTTATTACAGCCTTAAGGAGGGATGCCAAATTACACCAGCCCCACTAGAGACAAGTCCGTATATTAGTTCTCATGATACCTTGATATCTCCGCAGGAAAACATACAAAAAACATAAGAGCAATGCCAGGCAGGGCAGTGCATGCCTGTAATTCCAGCACTGGGGAGGCTAATCCACTGGAGGATCGTGGATTCCAGGCCAGCTTGGGCTACACAGTGAGACCTTGTTTCAAAAACAAGCCCTAAACAACAGCAGCAACAACAAACAACAGCTAAAAGCAGAGGGCCTAGAAGGCCAAACTGGGATCTCCAGGAAAGCTGAACTGTGTGACCTGGGCCTACTCGACTCTGGCCATCTTCCCTCTAATTTTTTTTTTTTTCCTAGTCCTCATTAGATTTCATCTGCTCGATGGACTAGTGACGTAAAATAATCAGTACCTTCAGCATCTAAGGCAGTTTGACGGCACAGTTTACATACAGACTGAGACTCTTCCTGCTGACAATGTAACAAGTACAACCCTAAGCACCCTTTAAAAGAAAATGCGTAAATCCCCTCCACACGAGGTCTTGAACACTTTCTGAGACTTGAGGGGCGTGGAAAAGACACTCGAGCCTGCAGTTCAGCCTGTCTTTCTATTGCCCGCCCAAGTCCATAAGCACTGGTTACTGTTACCCATCATCCAATTGGCAACAAAGCTTGAATCTTGGAACCCTCATACGAGTTTTATCAACTAGCTCAGCTCTCCCTCGAACATTTACAGAGATCATTGAGTTGTGACAATTCAGGCTCTCAAATTATTTTAAGACTGCAATTTCTCCTGTCAACGGCAACATTAACTTTACCCTCACCCCATTATAAAAGCCTTAGGAAAAGATCCTTCCTTCAAAGAGTTGTGTTCACGAACAGTCACCTTCCAAACTTCTGGCTGCAGGTAACCAAAACTCCAATTTTTTTTCCTCAAATGGAGTTTTGGAATACTTGCCTAGTGTATTTGTTATGAAACTTTTAAAGAAACCGGGAAAGAATCAGTCGATGGAGGAGCGATTCCACCAAACACATTAAATTTGTGTTTCAAAAAAAATCATTTTCTAAAATTGATTCGGAGGAGTTAAAGTGAGGAGAGAAATGAGGCGAACATACCACTTCGGGGACAATCGATTACTTTTTCATTTCTTTTTTTTTCTTTTTTTTTCTTTTTTTTTATTTTTATTTATTTATTTATTTTTTTTTTACCTATAACTGCACACTCTGTATGAGGGACCGGCACACGACTGTCACTTGTGGCAACAACTTCTCGGCTGATCAACAGAGCTTGGAGGTGGTGGGGTAAACTATGCCTGGTCTACCTGGACGAACTTTACACCGGGTAGCTGACACCGAAATGCCCAATTCCACAGACAAGCCAGAAGTTTGGAGGCTCAGAGAACAACTCCAGGTATGGTCTGCCATAGTGGAGGAGATGCTGTTTCAAATGGCACTTTAATCAGTCAAGGGGAGAAGGAATTTGGGCGCCCCACCCCGCCTGGACACT